GGATTTTTTGAAACCTCCTCCTTTTGTCTTTTGAAAATTGGCAAATGGATCTCCATTCGTCGATTGGTTTTTGAAAATTTTCTTGTTTTTATACCTGTTGTTGTCTTGATGCTTGACATGTAAGGCATCTTCAATCACTCCTTCTTGCCCCATAGACCTCCTTTGCTCTTGTGCTTGTAAAGCATTCAAGAGCTCTGTAAGAGAAATCTTTGACAAGTCTTTGGTGTTCTCTAGAGTAGTAATGGTGGCTTCAAACTTCTTTGGAACAGTGACTAGCAGCTTTTCAACGATCCAGGAATCATTTAATACAAAACCAAGCAAGCTCACCTTGTTGGCAATGCTAAGAAGTCTGTCAGAGTACTCTTTCACCGATTTAGACTCCTTCATCTTCTGCAACTCGAAATCCCTAATCAAATTCAGGGCTTGCTTTCGCCTTTGATTTCCTTGTCTTATTTTCCTTTTGTAATTTGATTTGTGCTACAGTAGGATTTGTTGGGAGCGGAGGGACCTCGTAATCCTCTTCTATTGCTTCCCAAAGATCCAAGGCCTCCAAATAAGTCTCCATACGAACTGCCCACATTTGATAATTGTCTCCATCGAAGATTGGTGGTGCAACAGCGGAAAAACTGGATTCTCCTTCCATCTTGATCTCACAGATCCCTTAAGAAGATAGCTCTGATACCAATTGTTAGTCAAAGAGGGATTTATTGAATGGTTGATGAGAAGATGGATAAATTTTGAAGAGTAAGAATGCTCTATATATCTATATCTAGAGAATACAAAGAGATATCTAGAAAATCTACTAGAAATCTGGTAACGACGGTAAACAAATTAAATCAAAACAAAATCTAATCAAAATGGGTAGTAAATCAAATAAAACTAAATCTAACGAGATTTAATTAGATACTAACTGACACCAATCTAAACAAATACGTGATTTTTAACGGCCTCGGTGATCCTAACCCTCACAACTTCCCCCACAAACCACTCCACTTTTGATCCTATGCAGCCGCTTATACCCAACGCTACTCTCCTCCACAATCCTCTTCCCATCCAAGTAAATCTCATGCCGTTTGATCCTCTGACCAAGCCCTATGGCCTCTTGGATCCTCACCACATTGAATTTCAGCCGTTGCTTCTGCTGACTTCTGATGTCAATCCAATGGTCACCACCAGCATCAGCATCAGCTCCCCTGGGTGCCCAATAAGTCCACAAATGGTCGTTGTCCAACACATTTTGAGCCCAAACGCACTTTCTTTGCCACCCCTTTGGCTGCTGGCTCTTAAGGAGCAGTTTTGAGCCAAATTTGAGGAGAAAATTGTGTGAATGGCAGCTTTGAATTGGGTGAGAGTGTGGGCATCTTCTTGGGCAATTAGACCTGTGGAGTTGGGCGGGACATTGAAGAGAAGAACACAATATCTTCCCACTGAGTTGTAGTAGATTTCCAGGAGCCTTTTTAAGCTCTTTGGGGACTCTGATTTGTGCCAAAACCACCCCTTTCTTATGGATACATCACATCTGGGGGTATCCAATCCGTCCCTTCGAGGTCTCCTTCCTTTAGGTACCTGGAATTTTAGGAGTCCGACATTGGCTAATTAAGAGGAAGACAAGAGTGCTTGGGATCAAAGTGGACAATATCATTACTTACTGAGTAATGCCTTCGGCTCCAATTGCCAACGAACTACGATTGATGGTTGACCAGCACGGTGTTCCAGCGAAGCCGTTCTCATCTCCGACCCATCAAATATCGGGACCGGCATCCGAAAATATGTTGATGGAGCTCTGCAACTCCTTCACCATTGCAAACCAATCGGAGAAGTAATGGCATGTTTGGAGCATTCTTACCCTTTGCTCCATCAAACCAAGTCTCCCTCACATTCCCATATAGCTAAAATAGATCCAAATCCAAATTGTTAATTCAAAAAGAATGGAAAGCATAGAGATTTATCAGAAATTAAATTAAGTAACTCACTTATTCAAAAGCTCTTGTAATTGAGCCAAGTAATACTCATTATACGGCAACTCATGGCTAGATCTCCGACATGCATATCCCACGGCGATAAATACACCCCAACGTCGATACCACGGGCGGCAGCGGCTTCGACGAACTCCTTAACGACGTCGCCTTGGCCATTCTTCCAAGGGCTGCGGGAGACAGATGGGTGGTGTATTTGGAAGGCCAGAGGCAGAAGCCGTCGTGGTGCTTAGCAGTGAGAATCATGAGAGAAATGTTAGCGGCAGCGGCGGTGGCTGCCCACTGTGCTGCGTCGAGGGCTGTGGGGTTGAAGACGGTGGGAGACTCGCGGCCAGTGCCCCACTCGGAGTCGGCGAAAGTGTTGGGTCCGAAGTGGAGGAACATAATCACTTCTCTCTGTTGCCATTTCAATTGGCAAAGCTGAACTGTGTTTTGTTGAACCAGAGGATTGTGAGAGGTAGTGGGATTGGACGGTGGAGAAGATTGGTTGTGAAAGTATTGAATCACAATGATTCAAAGGCTGTTTCATTACGAGCTCCATAACTTTATTAAAATTTATAGTTAATATAATATATTATAAAGTTTTCATGGTTAATAAAATTTATTTTTTGTTGAGATAAAAATAGTGTATTCAAAATGTTTTATAAAGCCGTTGTCAGGTTTTACAAATTTCATATCGTACAAAATTGATTTTAAATAATTACAAATATTTTAAAAGTAATTTCTAAATCACAAATTAATTACCTCGACTCTGACAATTTTGCTAGATTTTTTTTCTTAAAAAAAATTAAATCTAGATATGGTTGTCTTATATAATACATAATTCATCGTGTGTTTCACAAAAGCATATATAATTTAAATTACGAACAATATTTAATTCATCATGTGCCACAAAATATTATCTTTATGATCTTTTTAGTGTAATTAAAATTATTAAATACTATCATTAATATCTAAGTTCTTTATCAATTATTAAATATGAAGAATCATAAAAAAAAAAAAAAAAAGTGGGAGGGAAAGAGTACTCCCCGACGATATTCAAAATTTTTGATGAGATGACGACAATCAGTACTTTTATTGGACCAACATGTGCTATTTGATAGTCTAACGTCTTCAAGATCACTCAACTTGATATCATATATTAGAAAACCCGACCCCAATATTGTCCTTGTTTTGAATACCTATACTTTTATAAACAATCCAAACTCACCGTCATTAGATATTGTTTTTTTTTTAACTTCCTCTTAAGGTTTTATAACGAGTTTGCTAGGAAGAAGTTTTTAATTTTTATAAAGAATGTTTCGTTCCCTTCTCCAATTAATATGGGATCTCACAATCCACCCTTTTCGGGGCCAGTGTCCTCGCTAGCACATGTTCTACTCTTCGATCGACGTAGAATCTCACAATTTTGAAATTTAAAACAACATTAAACGATTATGTCCTTTACAAAACATGTCATATCGTCAAGGATGATGGAATGCTATCGGATATTGTTCCAAGTAATTAGGTTGTTGGGTGGAGTGGGGTTTATATTCGCACCCGGTTTGGTTTCAATCAAAAGTGTATAATATACTTCTTTGGCAATGAGCTTACATCAAAATCTAAACCTAAATCATACAAAAATCAAATATGCTGTCCTTTACACGTAAGTGGTTGGATATTAAATTCATATATGATACCCAATAAGTGGACGCATACAAAACAACAATACACATTAATATTCTCCTCTTCTCTGCTGTAGTTTACTGCTTAATGTTTCTTTCTTGCACTGCTTTCCATGGCTTCTTCTCTTTCTCTAAGATCGAGGCTTCTAAACTCGGGTTGTAAATCTTAATTTAATGTTTCAAATAAATAAATTATCAAAACAATGAGACCATTGGTTCACAGTAGGTGATCGAAGTTCTCGTGCAGTGGTAGTGATGATACGAGCAAGGATATCCACACCATTCAAGGGTCTAACATGTTCGTCAAATTGACGGAACGATATTTTGACATGATGTCAGATTCCACCACCTTTATTTATTTTAATTAATATAATAGTCATGTCAAACTATCTCTGTTTGGATAGCTTTGTAACCGTCAAAGCACACTGCTAGCAGATATTGTCCGTTTTAACTCATTCGTATCGCCGTTAGTGTTAAGGATATTTAGTAATAAATTATAGTTTACCATATATATTATATTTGATATTTTATTATAAGGCAAATATCTCTAATATTTGCCTTATTATCATAGGTATCTTTCCATTTATTGTTATTTCCATTTACTACTATTTCCATATCCTTGTAATTTATTTGATTATAAATAAGATGACTTTCACACCATTTAGGTGTGGTGGATTAATCAAACATTCACAGTTAGCTTCATTGTTTTAAAACACATCTATTAGAGAGATGTTTCTAGAAATGTTTTGTTCCCCTCTCCAACCGACGTGAGATCTCACAGTATATTATAATCAAAATACACCGTTGGATAACTTTGAGAGTGAACACAACTCACTGATAATTAACGTGATATATTCGATTAAGAGATCAAAAGTTCGAGAGTTAAAAGAGAGACAAAGAGATACTGGTTGTGGTGGGCTGTTCCAAATTTAATTATTATCATAAAGTAAAAGAACCAAAAAAAAGATGATATTTGGAATATATATGTTATTGGTTACTCTGAGCATCAAAGTTCACATCTTTTACTGAATAAAAGCTTACCCTTTTCCCTTAACCCAATCCACATCACAATATAGAGACACCCCTTTTTATCAAATTGACCAAAAAACTCCATCAAAAGCATAACTTTTTCCCATTCATTTTGTTCCATTTTGATTCCATTCTTCTCAAGGTTTTACTAAGTTAATTAAACACAAAAGCAATGAACAAACTTTGGGATTTGGATTTGATTAATAACTTTGTAGAGTTCATCTCTCCTAAGAAGGAAAAAAGTGGTTTTGGATTAAGCATTAAGGAAGCGATTGTGTTCTAAACAGGATGCCTCTGACACATAGGAATATCTTCAAAGGCTGGGGACTGTTTTCAGTTTTTGTGCTTTGTTTCTCTCTCCCTCCCTCCCTCCCTCCCTCCCTCCCTCTCTCTCTCTTATATAAACAAGTTTATGGCTACCGTACTCCATAGAGCTACGTTTGGTTCTGTCGTTTACTCGTATTTCCTACGTTGTTTCGGAAATCCCGATAATCATAATCATCATCATCGTCATCAAAATCATTACAACAGCTTCAATCGTATCCTCTTCAACATGCCAAAGCCCAAACCCCTTTCCTTGCAGGTATTTCACTTTCAATAAAACTAGTTTCTACATAATCCTCTCTTTTTCGGGAGAAAGGTTGATAAAGTTGGTTTTTTTATGCTCAAAAGTGAAAAAAAAAATCGATCTTTTATGATGGGGATTTGAAAATTTCAAATTTTTACATGTTTCTTGGCTTTTTTGTGTTGAATTTTCATGTGGGTTTGCTTTGAAATTTTGGAAAAACCCAATTTTAAAGGTGTAATTCTTGTTTTTAGTTGTTTTGTTTAAAGAGGAGAGGGTGATGAAGAAAGGGTTATTGATCAAAGTTGTTAATGGATGTGAGAATCTTGTAGATGTGAAAACCCCTATTGGAAGGGTTCTTTCTCTTTTGTTCTTCTTTTTTCTCAGATCAGCAAAAGGAACAAAGGTATCATAATAATAATATCATGACAGAATCTATATCTATCTATTTGCTTATGGTTTGTGCTTTTACAGACTGTTGAGCTAAAAGTCAGGATGTGCTGCAGTGGCTGTGAACGGGTCGTTAAAGATGCGATCTACAAACTTAGAGGTACAAAAAAGAACCGAAATAAAAGAAGGGTTGTTTTTAGTTACGAAAAAATATGATTAGAGTTGTCTTGATGTTTTGAGTAGGAGTTGATTCAGTTGAGGTGAACTTGGAGCTGGAGAAGGTGACGGTGATTGGATATGTCGATCGAAACAAGGTGTTGAAGGCGGTTCGAAGGGCCGGGAAGAGAGCAGAGTTTTGGCCGTACCCAGAGCCACCGTTATACTTCACATCTGCTGCTGATTACTTTAAAGATACGACTCGTGAGTTCAAAGAGAGCTATAACTATTACAGGCATGGGTATAATATCGGAGAGAAGCACGGAACGATTCCGATATCTCATCGGGGTGACGACAAAGTGAGCAACATGTTCAATGATGACAATGTCAATGCTTGTAATGTCATGTAAATATATGATGATATATGAATGTGAGTCCTAGCTTTTAAGTGTATCTTGGAATTTTAAGGGTTGATAATTTCATATGTTGTTTCTAAGTCATCAGTAAAGTGTGTAAAATGCAGTTTAATTGTTCCTTTCTTTTTCCTTGTATTTGTAAGCATGAGTTTATATTATTATAACCACGTTTATGTTACCAAATCGAGCTTCTATACATGTTTGCACCGAGACAAAAATATATATACAAGTGCGGATTGCTAGGGGTAACGAGGATAAGACGACATGCGTGAGGCTGGAGCATTAGAGTTTCTAGTAATGCTGATCTAACCAATGTCTCGTATTGCACAAAAATGAATGAAGAATTTCGGCCCTATACATTGTGAATGGGAGAAGGTTTCTCGTAACCAATATTGTTTGATAGTAATTTGTACTAAATAGATTGGATGAGATTTTGGTGTATACTATCGTTGGAAGAACACAAAGAACACCTTCTTCGTATAGCACCGTTCGAGTTCGAGACTATAAAATTAAAAAAAAGGTAGCATCTTCCAAATCCCGAGACAGTGTCTACCGAAATGTGGGAATTGGGATGAACTTTTGTTGAATATGATGGAGTTATGAGTGTATACTCACCAACTCTTGCTAGGCCTAATGGGACCTAATGGGGCCTCGGAAAATGATGAAATTTTAATATATTTTAATTCCCACTCCTCCTTTTTTCCAATTTATAATATTGTTAATGAAAAACTTTGGATTAATTTTTAATTTCCTTGCTTCTCTAGTACCTTTAACAAATTATTGATAGGTTTCTTTCATGTATATGTCCATTTTGGTTTTATTTGTTCTTCAGTCCCTTTTGTATGTTTGTATCAATTGTGGCAGCAAAGTTCTTGTAGAAGTTTTTCGTGTGGATTTTGAATGAATTTTAAGATCCGTGGAGGTGGAAGATTTCAAATCTTTAACCTCTTACCCGTTGCTAGTAGATATTAAAACCCGCTATAATTGTCAGCTCCACTATTTTAAAATAAATTTACTAAAAGAGATTTCTACATTTTTATAAGAAAGAATTCATTTCTCTCTCAAACTGATATGTGATTTCGCAATCCACTCCTTAGAAGGTCTAACATTCTCATTGGCACACCTTTCGTGTCTAGCTTTGATACCATTTATTACCGTCCAAGCCCACCCTAACAAATATTGTCTACTTTGGTCTGTTACATATCATTGTTAGTCTCACGATTTCAAAACATGTCTCTACTGGAGAAAAGTTTTCACACCCTGTAAACAATGCTTCGTTCCCGTTTCCAACTGATGTGGGATCTTACCAGTTGTAATCTCACTACTTATTTACTGATTTATCGACAAATTTAGCATTAGAACACAATATCCTTCACAAATATGTTTAATCAAGAAGCTAAAACAGGTCGGAAAAGACGAGAATAAAACCTGTTTTCACTATGTTTGTTGTTTTGAATTTGAAGACTATATAGCTGGAAAGTACCCAATAGTGACATTTGATTCCACCCTTTGCGATCCTCTTGTTGAATTCCACTCTTGAAAGAACTCCAGGGCAAGTCTTAAAACAGTTCCAAGGCCAAGCACTACAATAACTCCTGTTCTTCCAGGTTTCACAACCATAAATAAAAACATAACATGAAACTCGATAGCTCGAACGATGAAAGTTATAAACGTACCAATGATGATATTTACAGGTAACGCCGAAATGCCGAGGGTGATGGATACAAGAATGTCCAGTAGCAGACCTCCGATGAGGATGGCAAAAGCTAGCCAAAGTGGACTGAAGTAGCGCTGCTGCATAAATAACACACAAGGTTGATGTGACGCAATATCTACCCTCAAAAGTGTAAATAGATATGAAAAATATTACTACTCAACGAAGAAACGAATACAAATATAAGAATAAGAAATAGAATTGGGATCGAAGGTTAAATTTCATTGTTCACAGCCTTTAAATAGGATACAAGAAACTAAATATATCTACAAAGAAAATATAAACTAACTAAATCTAGATAATAAAATAAAATATACTACTATACTATTCAAATTTAACTGATTACGAATATCTAAGATATATTTCCTAACTAATATATTTGTCAAGATTACGAATATCATATATTTCATAACTAATTCAAACTAGAAATAAGTTGCACTAAATGCTGATATCCTCCCTTAGTGCAAGCTTATTTTTCAATAACTCCGAGAGCGAAAAATTTCAAACTTCACTTTGTTTCCCTGTTAACAGCTTGCCTTCTTGTTTGTTCTTTAGCCGCTTCTCTTTTTCTCTTTCCTTTTGCCTACGCCTTTTCTTCTTCCTAATGACCGTCGTTTCTGTGCTCTCTTCTTCAGCTTCCTTTTCAACTGATGCATCAAGAGGAGTTACAAGGTCAGGTGGATTCTCAACTTTGGCCTCTTGTGAAGAAAGAGGAGGGTCGGTAGGTTTTGATATAGTAGGCCACTCTCCTAGCTCAGCAAGAATCTTATCCAAATCATCTTCTTCTCGAGCAGTCCTTCCACTCTTCTTCTTTTTATTTTTTGAAGTTTCTGCCACCCTTGTACATTTATCTCTAAAATTTTGAGTCAATGCCTTGGTAGTTTTTGTTGTCTCTCCATCTGACATTTCTTTTTCTACCTTTTTATCTGATACATCAAAATTCCTGGTCTTCACTTCTTGATCGAGGCCCTTGCTTTCCTTGCAATCGTCATCCAACTGAACAGAGGATTCTAACAAGTTCTTGTCATCCATCCCATTACCGTGTTCTCTTTCACCAACCAAACTATCTTCCAATTTGTCACCTTCGTCAACCACAACATCACGTTCATCCTTAGTACAATTCCCCAAATCAATCGATACATCCCGACTTTATGATAAACCAGCATCATCCCTGCAAGCTTCTTTCTCTTTAGCCACATTCATGCTCTTATCCAACAACTCAGCCTCTACCACAACACTGCCTTTCTAAACTTGGTCTAGATTCTCACTTTCAGCAGCACCCCCAAAAGCTTCTCGATCAGCCTGCAAGTCTAACAAATTGGTAGTTTGATCAAAATCTTCGGAGATGAGAAAAACGTCAGCCTCAGAGGCGTCAAGATCGCCAAAGGTTAATTTGAAATCTTCGTTTACGTCGAATCCCAAATTCAAGGCCGTGAAATAAACAGAAGGGTCACCATGGGCAGCAGAATTGGCATCAGAGTACAAAAAAGAGTGCAAAGGCGAAATTTGGAGAGAATCAAATTTAGAAGCATAAGTAGCAGAATTAGAATTTTGATCCCCTGTAGAGACATCATCTTCATATACGGCTGAAGTCACGTTTGTTGGCTGATCAAGAACCTCAGTGGTTAAGCAGTATTCCCAAATTGGATCTGAAGAATTTTTACTTCCATGTACAGCATTTGCTTCTGATTCTTGGATTTTGATTCGACAATTTGGCTTAATATGGTTTGGCTTTCTGCAACGATCACACACCACTTTCGCCTGACAATCTCATTTAAAGTGGCCTTGTTTTCCACACCTGTAACAAGCTTTAAATGACTTCTTTGACGACTCCTCACTTCTGAATTGATTCCCCTTGCTTGATGAAGGCTTTGAATGAAAAATCTGTCTTCTTTGATCTTTGACATACAACACATCTTCTGACTTTGGGGAAGACTTGTTGCTCCTAGTCATTTGCTTAATCAAGGCTTCCTGATTGGAAAGAAGATTCTCCAGTTCAATAACTATAGGCTGATTTGCCCACCCTTGTATTGAGGAAACAAAAGGCATAAACTCTTTTCGTAATCTACGAATAAGATAACGCCATAATCGAGCATCATTTACTGACTCATCAGCATCTAATTATGAAATTTCAGAACACAAATTTTTCACTTTAAAAAAAAATTATTCAACAGGTAATTTTCCTGGAGTTACCATAGCTAGTTCATTCTCTAGAAATTGCAGTCGAGCGGTATTTTTCATAGTGAACAACTTTTGAAGTGTATCCCATACTTGCTTTGGTGACTTTAAATCACGAACATGATCAATATACTCCTTGCTAATCAAAGTTCGCAAGGTAAATAAGGTTTTTCCGAATTTGATCTTCTATTGTTGGCGTAATTTTGGATTTTGTGAAAGTATCTGCTGGAATTTCTGTGTCATCACCTTTAATTAAATCTCACAAATCTTGCCCTTGCAGATAAGCTTCCATACATAACTTCCAATAATTATAGTTATTGCCAACAAGCTTTTCCATAGCTATACCCATCGAAGCACTTCCACCATTCCTCTCGTTGAGTAATAATATCAAACCATTGTCTCTGATACCAACTGACGAAATATCTACCACTTAAAAGTGTGAATAGATATGAAAATATTATTACTCAACGAAACAATACAGATCTACGAATGAGAAATAGAATATTGAGAAATACAACCTTTAAATAGGATACAAGATACTAAATAATATCTACAAAGAAAATATAAGCTAACTAAATCTTGATAATAAAATAAAATATAGTACTATTCAAATTTAACTAATTACTAATATCTAAAATATATTTCCTAACTAATATATTCTTCAAGATTACGAATATCATATATTCCATAACTAATTCAAACTAGAAATAAGTTGCACTGATATGATTTCTTAACCACTTATTAAACAAGCACGAAAAGTGAGATTCTTACCCTTTCAGGCTCTTGGGTTCTGTAGGTTGGATCAATCCTCCAAATCCAGTAGTTGGTCTGTGTTTTTCAAATTCAAGAAATAATTGAAACTCGGGTTAGTTCCAATACGATATCCTTCCATCAAGATCATAAGTTCAATGCTAAATATATAGTTTTAAACTGCGATTCTTGTGAATAAATAGTTTGAATTTATAGGTACTTATCTGTTTAATGAAAACGGAACCGTAAGAATTTTCAAAGCCATGTAATTAGTTTAGAAGTTCGGTTTATTTGTATGTAGTTTCGAGGTTACTTTGATGATCAAAGAACAGTTGAGGTACACACAAGTTGACCCGAACATTCATGGAAGCAAGAAAATGTAGCAAATGCAAAACTAAGGCACCAAATCAAAAGCATTGCACCAAAAGCTACAGAATACCTACAGCATGATGTGATTGTGGAGGTGATACATTCGCTGCTACAACCCTGAAGAAGTTAGCAAAATAACATTTCAAAGTGGCTCCAAAACAATATGA